TACTGGCATCATTATTATTTAACACCGCTTGTGTATTAATGAGACACAGGAAGAAGAGAAAAATGAGGCAAGGAAAGCCGACGATAGCACAAACTTACTTTGCTTTGTCAAAACAGAGAGGTGGGGGAAAAGCCATACCGTGAGATGTGTTTTATAACACGAGAAATTAAATTATCACACCAAAGTTAAAGTTTTCGTATCAAAGGCCTATGATCAGCTCCACATGCCAGTGGAAGTCGTTTCAGTGCATTAAACCTAGTGTTCAGCACAAGCGGGGCCGAACCAGCTGGCCCCATTTTACCAGCCACTTCATTGTGAATTATGCAATGAGGAAAGAAAAAAAAAAAAAAAAGTCACTTTCACTGTCATTTCTTACCCTGGTTTTAATCAGCAATATTTTCTCATGCTCTTGTGATGCCACAGTTTCTTGGTTACAAATGTGGCAGGGGAAGCCTGCGTTGTTGTTTTTTTTTTTAAAAAGTTTCTGCTGACATCTAAGAAACAGGACAGGGAGAGTTCAAACACTGATCATTTTGTAAACACCAAAATGCAGAACCAAGTCAGAAGCCTATATGGATCACAAATATTGCTTAGATTTAACCCGGATGTATATGCAACAAAGCACTTTGGCCAAAGAAGTCTGAGCTGCTAATAATCCATGCTCTGAGTCATCCAAGGAAAAAAGACTGAAGAAATGCAGGCCCTGCACCTGTAAAGGCTAAGGACATCTGTCACGTCCTCGTATCGGCACAGAAGGCAGCCAGCTTTGATGTGACTGAGCGATCAGGCAGCATCCAGGGGCTGCAGCATGGAGGGCTCTATCTTTTCTTTTTCCTTTTTGCACTTCCTAAGGTGGGCAGAGACTGTTCTCATGGCATCAGACCAAATAGCTCCAGATCACGGAATTTCTGCTGGAGATTTTGTATGCAGACAGCAAAAAAGCCTTGGGGGCAGGGGGGGAGCTATTTGATCGGTTTTTAACTCTAGGAAACCATTATTCAACTCTATGAAAGTTACATGAAGCAGGTGGTTCCAGCAGGGCAGGCTCTCCCCAGGGCTGCTGGATCCATCACTACTCTTTTAGGGTTTTGCTTATGATCCTGCACCAAAAGGATGTTCCCCTGGATGCACAGGATTCCCTTTCCGATCCCACACATCCTCCAGCAGCTGTTTCAACCGTGGGGCCCCAGCAGAAGTATGGGGTACATGCATGCTGGGTGCAGCAACAGCGACCTGAAGCTGCAGCGGAGATGTGGCTCGTTGCTCCCTCTTGGCTTGTTTTGCTGGCAAAGCCGCTTTCCTGCTCCTTGCTTGCCCATGCAAAGACTCACCCCGGTGCAGGCAGGAGGGACCAGCGCACACGTCCACTGGGACACGTGCAGATCCACCTGAGGATGCTCCACCATCACCCATGCCAAGAAGCGTGCTGTTAATTAATCAGTGCAGTCAGTTATGCACAGTGCCCACCTCCGTAGCCTGGTCCTGTTCAGTTTCAGCTCTAGAGGGTCACATCCGTAACCACTACTAATGGGCTGCATGGATACCCCTGCATGTGTTTTCCTTCCTGGAGACCCTTTCTCACATCTCTGTCTTCAGATGTGACCCTCCCACCCCCAGAAACCATGGGAAGGGACAGGGGCAGCCCCTGGCACGGCAACCACGAGGCAGGTACCTCCCTCCCACTCCTGTGTATAACACAGGGCATGAGACAGCATCACCAGACCTCACCACTTTGGCATGAATTTCCATGTATTCAGGTTTTCTTTCGGTCATGCTACCACCTGGAAATCTCAATTTATTATTTTTTTTTCCCTGTATTAAAGAAATAAGTGTCTAGCCCTCATGGATGTGGAAAAAACCCATGAAAATATGATTCAGTTCCCTCTCCCCTCCAAAAAAATCAGAAAGGAAAAAAACTGTTAAGTCAAGGCTTAAAAATCAGCAACATTCATTTTTCCTTTTATCTCATGGTTTTCCTTATGTTTCATGATTTTTTTTTTTTTTAAATGAGGTGCTGGTGATAGAGGCAATGGCTAAATGCTGGAGAAATGTTAGATCAGAGCATCTAATTATCACCTCTCAAGATACTTACGGGGTTTTTTTCAGACTGAAATCATCTATCAAGGAGCACGCAGAAACGATACGAAGCCAATGCTCAGCAAATCAGCTCGGATCGATGGAAATCAGAAGATCCCGAGATCTTCCGCCCCCTCTCCCTCTGAGAGGAGGGAGAGGCACCGAAGAAGAGTTCAAATTCCAGGCCAGGACTGCGGGCGCTGCGTCCTCGATTCATCTCTACTGTCAAAACCATCGGTCAAACGCCCCACGGCTGCTCACGGAGGAACAACTTCTGTGTGTGGAGCTTGAAATGATTTAGCAGAGCAACACAGAGGAGCCTGAAAATCAATTAATTAGACAAATAATATTAGTGACTTCCTAAAGGTGCTCGGTGCCGGAGGCTCCCGTGCACCTCTTGTCCTCTGCACCACGGTCCAGGGGCGCTACGTTGGCTCGGAGATAAAAAGAGTAATTAAAATCAGGCAAGAAAAGCAACATTTTAATTTCTTCTCTTTCTGCTTGTTTTTAGGCTGGACTTCTTCAAAGACGGTTGCACAAAAGGCAGTCTTTGAATTAACAAGCATTTACTTAATTAGGTACTTAATTGCAAATTACAAGAAGCGAAGTGCCTTTTTTATCTATTTGGCAATGTAAAACTGGGCCCGATGCTATCCGTAACACCAAAATCCCCTCCTTTCTGGGGAAAACTTGTCTCGCATGTAAAGCAAGGCAAGTTTTAAGTGAGAATCATTTGACTTTTGCCTTTAACTGGTTGGGAAAAGTGTCTTTAGAAGCACGCAAACCACTTTCAGGTAGAAAAATTAACCGAGAAGATGCTGGAAATCAGACTTGTTAAAGATACGTCAGATTCCAGTGATTTATGTATTAAATGTGTAAGAAAGAATGGGATGCTTTGCAAATCAGTGATGGAAAAGGGTTGACTTAGGCAAATACTCTTGGCCAAGATGGGATGTCCTGGCTGTACGGGTACTTAAACACGGCGCAGCTTTCTAGGATTGTGCTGAACTCATCACCACCCGCTTCAAAACAAGATTACATTTTTTCCTGAAGCGTGCTCCCACCCAGAATTTGGGTCGGAAAAAAGTCACCAGCTGACATACCCAGCCAGGTTGCAGCACTCCCGCTGTGGTAACTGCAGCCCTCCATGGGCCACACACCGACGGGGACCCTTGGAGATGACACCTGAGGGCTCCTCCGGCTCCCCGGAGCCACGGTCTTGGCTCTGCATGCAGAAAAATTTAGTGTTGGCCAAATTTTGCCCATCATCAAGTCCACCTGACCTCCTCGGTCTCCTTCTTGCCCAGCTTTTGGGTGCAAAATGGATCAAGTGTGACTTTTTGTCCAGTTTCTGGGCAAAATTCAGCACAGGTGGAGGACTCAGCTGTGAAGAGCGCAGGGTCTCCTCAGCTCCGGCTAAATTTCCCGCCCGAAATGCTCCCAAACCCAACGTTTTCGTTATCCAAGGACAACATCTCAGAGCGATGAATTTCACAGGGACACTTGCGCTTTACCGAGGCAATGTTAAAATTTGGACAGCGGGGTTTCTCCACCCCGGGAGCTAACACCGCACACCTGCACAAAGCATCCCGCCGGGTGGGATGCGAGGAGGACTCGAGGAAACGAACCCCTTCAGCTGTCCTCGCCCTCACCGCACTAAGATTGCTTTTGAATCCTTCTTAAAAACCTGCTCTGCACCTCGGCATTACGCTTGCTCCCGAGGGCGAGCCCCCGCAAGCAGGATGCGTCCCCCCACGCGTGCCCACCCACACGCCCGCGGCGCGGTGCGATACTTGCGACCCGCTCAGCAGCGCCGGGGGGGGG